AGATACTCTATATATATGCAATGAGCACGTAAGTCAAGTAACTCCCTTATTGTATAAAAAGAATAAGTCACTTTGAGATAGGCCCTTATAGTATAATCAACAAGAGCTGTCAAAGGAGACAGCCAAGCTCGACTAATAAAATACTGGACGCAGTGAGGAGGACAAAACTATGAAAGAAAAATCAATTATGTATAATTATGTATTAAGTTATAGTAAAACAAGAGGGCCATGATGGCCCTGAGGTCGCTCACCTGTATATAGCCCCCCCCCCCCCCCCCCAACGTTGCAGGGCCAATTTAACCCAAGGGCTTTTATTTGCACAAACTTGGTAGACACCCATAAGATGTTTCATGCTAAACATCTAAGCTCTAGCTCATTGGCCTTTTTAAAAGAAGATTTTTTTCAAGTTTTTACTATACACATATAGTTAAAAACAATGACACCCCTGGGGCCGGGCCAGTTTTGACCCCAGGGCTTTTATTTGAACAAACTTTGTAGACACTTACAAGAAGATGTTTCATGCTTAATATCTAAACTCTAGCTATTTGGGTTTTTTCAAAGAAGATTTTAAGATTTTGCTATACACATATAAAGAAAATCAATGACCCCCAGGGCGGGGCCAATTTTGACCCCAGGTCTTTTATTTGAACAAACTTTGTAGACACTCACTAAAAGATGTTTCATGCTTAATATCTTAACTCTAGCTATTTGGGTTTTTTCAAAGAAGATTTTTTAAGTTTTTGCTATACACATATAAGGAAAATCTATGACCCCCGGGGTGGTGCCAATTTTGACCCCAGGGCTTTTATTTGAACAAACTTGGTAGACACCTATTAGAACATGTTTGATGCTAAATATCTTAGCCATAGCTCTTTGAGTTCTTTAATAGAAGATTTTTTAAGTTTTTACTATATGCATATTGGGAAAATCAATGACCCCCTGGGGCGGGGCCAATTTTGACCCCAGGGCTTTTATTTGAACAAACTTGGTAGACACTTATTAGAACATGTTTCATGCTAAATATCTTAGCTCTAACTCTTTTGGTTCTTTAAAAGAAGATTTTTTAAGTTTTTACTATATGCATATAGGGAAAATCAATGACCCCCTGGGGCGGGGCCAATTTTGACCCCAGGGCTTTTATTTGAACAAACTTAGTAGACACCTATTAGAACATGTTTGATGCTCAATATCTTAGCCATAGCTCTTTGAGTTCTTTAAAAGAAGATTTTTTAAGTTTTTACTATATGCATATAGGGAAAATCAATGACCCCCCCCGGGCGGGGCCAATTTTGACCCCAGGGCTTTTATTTGAACAAACTTGGTAGACACCCATTAGAACATGTTTCATGCTAAATATCTTAGCTATAGCTCTTTGGGTTCTTTAAAAGAAGATTTTTTAAGTTTTTACTATATGCATATAGGGAAAATCAATGACCCCCCCCCCCGGGGCGGGGCCAATTTTGACCCCAGGGCTTTTATTTGAACAAACTTGGTAGACACCCATAAGAACATGTTTCATGCTAAATATCTTAGCTCTAGCTCTTTGGGTTATTTAAAAGAAGCTTTTTTAAGTTTTTACTATATGCATATAGGGAAAATCAATGACCCCCCGGGGCGGGGCCAATTTTGACCCCAGGGCTTTTATTTGAACAAATTTGGTAGACACTCACTAGAAGATGTTTCATGCCAAATATCTAAGCTCTAGCTCTTATGGTTTTTTAAAAGAAGATATTTAAAGTTTTTTCTTTTGGTTGCCATGGCAACCAGAGTTCCGCATGGAATTAAATTCTTTGAACAATTTTTAAAGGTGACCACCAAAGGATCATTCCTGTGAAGTTTGGATGAAATTGGCTTAGTGGTTTATAAAGGAGATGTCATTTAAAGTAAAAGTTTACGGACGGACGACGGACGGACGACGGACGGACGGACGGACGCCGGACGAAAAGCGATCACAAAAGCTCACCCTGTCACTTTGTGACAGGTGAGCTAAAAAAATATATTTGTTAATATAAATTCCAAGATCAAGGGGAATAATTCTAAAAATAGTCATGCTAGAGGTATGGACCTTGTCACACAACATTTGTGTAATGATAAGAAATATATATTTGAAGTTTGAAGTAGATACCTTAAAAAGTAAAGAAGTTATCATATTTCTTAAAGAAAATCGTAAGTTCAAAGAGAGATAAATGTGTAAATATTGCTTCAAGAGTTATGAACATTGTCACATAAAATGTAATTGATGATAAGGAATAAGTATTTGAAGTTTGAGGTAGATACTTTAAAAAAAAAAAGTTATAATAAAAAATAACATTTTTCTAGTAAAAAAATCTAAGTTTATGGGGAGATGATTATTGCAATATCGGTGCTAGAGTTATGAACCTTGTCACATAGGATGTGGATGATGATAACTTAAATATATTTGAAGTATGAAGTTGATCCCTTTAGAAACAAGATATGTTTGTAAAACATGTATGCCCCCTATCAGCAGCCAATTAGTCATGTGATAAGGTTATTATGCATGACTTCTGACCCAGTAATCAAACATTTAATTAGGGTTATCAAGTATCTACTGGTCATGACCTTAACCTTTGACCCCTTGACCCAAAACTCAATAGCGGTCATCTGCTGGTCACGACCAATCATCATTCAAAGTTTGGAGTTCCTAGACCTAAGTGTTTTTAGTTAATTGATCAGAAACCGTTTTTACCTACAAGGTCAGCGTGACCTTGACCTTTGACCCCTTGACCCCAAAATCAATAGGTCATCTGCTGGTCATGACCAATCACCATACCAAGTTTGAAGTTCCTAGGCCTAAGGGTTCTTTAGTTATTGATAGGAAAACGTTTTAACATACAAGGTCAATGTGACCTTGACCTTTGACCCCAAAAGCAATAGGGGTCATCTGCTGCTCATGACCAATCACCATGCCAAGTTTGAAGTTCCTAGGCCAAAGCATTCTTTAGTTATTGATCAGAAACCGTTTTTACTTACAATGTCAATGTGACCTTGACCTTTGACCCCTTGATCCCAAAATCAATAGGGGTAATCTGCTGGTCATGACAAATCACCATACCAAGTTTGAAGTTCCTAGGCCTAAGCGTTCTTAAGTTATTGATCAGAAACCCTTCTTACTTACAAGGTCAATGTGACCTTGACCTTTGACCCCTTGACCCAAAACTCAATAGGGGTCATCTACTGGTCACGACCAATCATCATACAAAGTTTGAAGTTCCTAGGCCTAAGCGTTTTTAGTTAATTGATCAGAAACCGTTTTTACCTACACGGTCAATGTGACCTTGACCTTTGACCCCTTAACCCCAAAATCAATAGAGGTCATCTGCTGGTCATAACCAATCACCATACCAAGTTTGAAGTTCCTAGGCCTAAGGGTTCTTTTGTTATTGATCAGAAACCGTTTTTACCCAAGAGGTCAATGTGACCTTGACCTTTGACCCCTTAACCCCAAAATCAATAGAGGTCATCTGCTGGTCATAACCAATCACCATACCAAGTTTGAAGTTCCTAGGCCTAAAGGTTCTTTAGTTATTGATCGGAAACCAGTTTTGCTTACAAGGTCAATGTGACCTTGACCTTTGACCCCTTGACCCCAAAATCAATAGGGGTCATCTACTGCTCATGACCAATCACCATACTAAGTTTGAAGTTCCTAGGCCTTAAGGTTCTTTAGTTATTGATCGGAAACCGTTTTTGCTTACAAGGTCAATGTGACCTTGACCTTTGACCCCTTGACCCCAAAATCATTAGGGGTCATCTACTGGTCATGACCAATCACCATACCAAGTTTGAAGTTCCTAGGCCTAAGGGTTCTTTAGTTATCACTTGGAAACCATTTTGTCTACGGACCGACGGACCGACAAGTGCAAAGCAATATACCCCCTTTTCTTCGAAATGGGGGCATAATAAATAATATACTTTGTTCAAACTTTCAGAGGTTATGAGTAAGACTAAAATAATGTCAAAAATGATATAAAACCATTTTTGGAAAAAAATGTAGTCACATCCTTATTGCGTTAAGCCCTCGATCTGAAGGAGTATCGCCAATTTGTTGGCAAAGATTAACGATCGCACCAAATTTTAAATGACCGCTAGATTTCTATTTTTAATGTTATGACTACTGCTGTTCAAAACTTGATGATTTAGCCATTTCATGTCTGAATGACTTCAAATTTGGGTATAATGTCACTTCAGTATCATAAATTGTGTTTGTGGAATAAATGGGGAAAAAAAGAAAATAAATTATGAATAAAAGAGTATAATATAATCCAATAATTTTATGCTAAAATTGAAGAAAACATTTTTCGATCGCTGTCTACCTACAAAAATATTCTAAATTGAATTGAATTATTATGAAGATGCAGGACTAATAGTCCTATTACTTTTTGAACAACCCACGTAGTTACAGTCTTTCCTAGCAGATTAGACTTATGTTTGTTATTTTTACCTATTCCAGAAATTTCATTTGATATAGAGGAGAGGAGGTGCATGCTATATAATGATGTCATGAATAAACGTTTATGAATGAACCGCATTAACAACACGTCAATTTAGTGCATTAAAAAATAAAACTGTGTGCCAAGGATGACATCACTTTGCCATAATGAATAAAGAGATAAATTTATAAACTATTGTAAGAAAATAGTTATGGATAAAATGACATTAATTTCCATGAAAATTTGTATTAGTTTATTAAAATATGGTAGAATATGTAAGAGAAAATATATATGGCATGTGTTTGCTGTTCAGATCAGAATATCTGTCCCTCTGTTACTTGCCCATTGATGATAACTCAGCAAGCGTCAATACCGCCCAGTAGGCAGGTACCTTAAGGTTGGCTATTTCTATCTGAACCACAATATATGACAGATTTTATAAGTATGCCCCAGTAACAGATTTTCTTTGCAGTTTTTATGTATATTTAGGCAACATTTAACAATAGACCACTAAAATTTCCTCTCCATTGTTTAGATCTTCGTACTTACATTTGGTTGTTGGAAGTAACTTGGACCACATTTAGGTTGATACCCTAAAACAATAAAATCAAAGGCATAAACATATGCTTCATAAAGTGAATCATTCATAAACATTTTAATAGAATAGTACAAATAATTATCTTCTATAAGAAAATATAGTCAGCAAGTACTTTGGCTACATTACATATTTTGAAAAGCACAAATTTAAATTTTAAAGGTGATTTATAAGCTTTACAAATTTAAACAAGATATGTTTGTAAAACATGTATGCCCCCTATCAGCAGCCAATTAGTCATGTGATAAGGTTATTATGCATGACGTCTGACCCAGTGATCAAACAATTAATAAGGGTTATAAAGTATCTACTGGTCATGACCTTGACCTTTGACCCCTTGACCCAAAACTCAATAGGGGTCATCTGCTGGTCACGACCAATCATCATACAAAGTTTAAAGTTCCTAGGCCTAGGCGTTTTTAGTAAATTGATCAGAAACCGTTTTTACCTACAAGGTCAATGTGACCTTGACCTTTGACCCCTTGACCCCAAAATCAATAGGGGTCATCTGCTGGTCATGACCAATCACCATGCCAAGTTTAAAGTTCTTAGGCCTAAGGGTTCTCTTATTATTGATCGGAAACCGTTTACACATACAAGGTCAATGTGACCTTGACCTTTGACCCCAAAATCAATAGGGGTCATCTGCTGGTCATGACCAATCACCATGCCAAGTTTGAAGTTTCTAGGCCTTAAGGTTCTTTAGTTATTGATCAGAAACCGTTTTTATTTACAATGTCATTGTGACCTTGACCTTTGACCCCTTGATCCCAAAATCAATAGGAGTAATCTGCTGGTCATGACCAATCACCATGCCAAGTTTGAAGTTTCTAGGCCTTAAGGTTCTTTAGTTATTGATCAGAAACCGTTTTTATTTACAATGTCATTGTGACCTTGACCTTTGACCCCTTGATCCCAAAATCAATAGGAGTAATCTGCTGGTCATGACAAATCACCATACCAAGTTTGAAGTTCCTAGGCCTAAGCGTTCTTGAGTTATTGATCAGAAACCGTTTTTACTTAAAAGGTCAATGTGACCTTGACCTTTGACCCCAAAATCAATAGGGGTCATCTGCTGGTCATGACCAATCACCATGCCAAGTTTGAAGTTTCTAGGCCGAAGCGTTCTTTAGTTATTGATCAGAAACCGTTTTTACTTACAAGGTCATTGTGACCTTGACCTTTGACCCCTTGATCCCAAAATCAATAGGAGTAATATGCTGGTCATGACAAATCACCATACCAAGTTTGAAGTTCCTAGGCCTAAGTGTTCTTGAGTTATTGATCAGAAACCGTTTTTACTTAAAAGGTCAATGTGACCTTGACCTTTGACCCCTTCACCTAAAACTCAATAGGGGTCATCTGCTGGTCATGACCAATCATCACACAAAGTTTGAAGTTCCTAGGCCTAAGCGTTTTTAGTTAATTGATCGGAAACCGTTTTTACCTACAAGGTCAATGTGACCTTGACCTTTGACCCCTTGACCCCAAAATCAATAGGTCATCTGCTGGTCATGACCAATCACCATACCAAGTTTGAAGTTCCTAGGCATAAGGGTTCTTAAGTTATTGATCCGAAAGCATTTTTACCTACAAGGTCAATGTGACCTTGACCTTTGACCCCTAGACCCCAAAATCAATAGGGGTCATCTACTGATCATGACCAATCACCATCTCAAGTTTGAAGTCCCTAGGCCTAACGGTTCTTTCATTATTGATCATAACCGTTTTTACCTACAAGGTCAATGTGACCTTGACCTTTGACCCCTTTACGCCAAAATCAATAGGGGTCATCTGATTGGTCATAACCAATCACCATACCAATTTTGAAGTTCCTAGGCCTAAGGGTTCTTTTGTTATTGATCAGAAACCGTTTTTAATTAAAAGGTCAATGTGACCTTGACCTTTGACCCCTTGACCCCAAAATCTATACGGGTCATCTACTGATCATGACCAATCACCATACCAAGTTTGAAGTTCCTAGGCCTTAAGGTTCTTTAGTTATTGATCGGAAACCGTTTTTACCTACAAGGTCAATGTGACCTTGACCTTTGACCCCTTGACCCCAAAATCAATAGGGGTCATCTACTGATCATGACCAATCACCATACCAAGTTTAATGTTCCTAAGCCTTAAGGTTCTTTAGGTATTGATCGGAAACCGTTTTTACCTACAAGGTCAATGTGACCTTGACCTTTGACCCCTTGACCCCAAAATCAATAGGGGTCATCTACTGATCATGACCAATCACCAAACCAAGTTTTGAAGTTCCTAGGCCTTAAGGTTCTTTAGTTATTGATCGGAAACCGTTTTTGCTTTTAAGGTCAATGTGACCTTGACCTTTGACCCCTTGACCCCAAAATCAATAGGGGTCATCTACTGGTCATGACTAATCACCATACCAAGTTTGAAGTTCCTAGGCCTTAAGGTTCTTTAGTTATTGATCGGAAACTGTTTTTGCTTTCAAGGTCAATGTGACCTTGACCTTTGACCCCTTAACTCCAAAATCAATAGGGGTCATCTACTGGTCATGACCAATCACCATACCAAGTTTGAAGTTCCTAGGCCTTAAGGTTCTTTAGTTATTGATCGGAAACCGTTTTTGCTTTCAAGGTCAATGTGACCTTGACCTTTGACCCCTTGACCCCAAAATCAATAGGGGTCATCTACTGGTCATGACCAATCACCATACCAAGTTTGAAGTTCTTTAGTTATTGATCGGAAACCATTTTTGCTTTCAAGGTCAATGTGACCTTGACCTTTGACCCCTTGACCCCAAAATCAATAGGGGTCATCTACTGGTCATGACCAATCACCATACCAAGTTTGAAGTTCCTAGGCCTAAGGGTTCTTTAGTTATCACTCGGAAACCATTTGGTCTACGGACCGACGGACCGACGGACCGACAAGTGCAAAGCAATATACCCCCTTTTTTTCAAAATGGGGGCATAATTATGAATATGACCCTTGGATCATATAATTTTTTAAGTATTTATGATACAGTCTATATTTTGTAGGAATGAAACTGAACAGCATCAATTATATAACAAATAACATTAATTTTACTATTACTAAAACAAAAACTCAAAGTAAAATGTTATTCCTTAATATTCAAGTATCATACAGATAAAATGTTTATCAAAATTCGCTATTTTATTACAGTTTCTATATATATATAAAAAAACAACTTGTCGCAAACAAATTTTAGTACCATATGAAAATGAATAAAATATGCAATCCATCATTAAACTGTAATCTAACTCTGAAAATCTACTAAACAGGCAAATGGGAGAGAGAAAGAAAAAAGAGAGAATTAATTGGCACCTACAAATATTAAATTCCAAGGCAATTTTTATGTATCAATGTTTTTTTTTATTCAAACAATTAACAGAGCAATAAAATAGGTCCTGTAAAACCGCAATCTGTCATACATGTACTTCTATCACAAGCAAAAGATTGGAAGAGCAAGTTATAATTACAAAACAGCGAGTTGCAAAATATGAAATAGTGAGTTGACTATTAAGTAAACTAGCCAACCTTGTTATTTCCAATTTAATTTGCAATTAAGGATAAAGTTGAGTATGTAACAAATGACAAATCAAAAATAATATATCGATATATCTATGCTCTCCCATGATATTCTGGTCTCTTGAGCATAAACAAACCCAAACACACACATAAAAGTTATATCTTTAAATAAAAACGTTAGGCAAAATTACATATTTGTTGTTTAAAGAATAAAGTTTCCTTACTTTCTTTGTACCATTTATTCCAGGTTTAACCTTTTCCCTTATATAAGCGTGTTTCCACGGCTTTTTGATCCCCACCCACCTTTTGAGGCCTCAAACAGTGAAAAATGTCCTATTTAGACCCCAACCACTGTTTTTCGTTTGAGAAATGTTGTAAAAAAAAAGTGACCTTTTTTTGGGCGCCGTCCCCCATCCAAATAATACATCAGGGGGTTGACAGAAGGGGGATGTACCCCCTTCTGTTTGGGGGTTTGAAGGGGGGGGCGGAGTCCCCCTCATCGCCAAGAAAATTTTGGACTTGTGAGAGGCTTAAAATGACCCCAGGTTGATCATAAGGTGACGTGTAACCAACGCTGAAAAGCCTTTGACTCTATCTCAATCCCTTGAGAAGTTGCAGCACTTTGAAGTAAATTTTGATGGAAAAAATCGAGGAAAAAAAGTGATTTTTGGCAATTTTGAGATGTCCCCTTGTTGCCATGGTAACAGGAAATTTAAGACTGAGCATGTCGTTACAAAGGCAATGGTCTAGAGCTGTCATTGATTCAGTGCAAAGCATATCAACGATATATCGATATCAAGTGACTAAAATCAACGATACACCGATATATCGATAATATCCTATACTCACTTGTCTGTCATTCACTTTCATACCTGTTTCAATGATTTCAGTCAAAAACATGTTCTGTACAGTGTCTTGTCCACTGCATGATTTTTACCAGACAATATTTTTGTCACCATTGCTATGAAATAATTCCACTATATAACAAAAGCATAACATTAGATATAAATAACTGTTTCTGCATATTTATTGGGTGAATTGTATAATTTCTAGACATTTAATATATAAGTCAAAAGTATTGATTTTTTAAAATTTGTATCGATTATTGATCGACAAAAAAATATCAACGATACATCGATATTGTCAATATCGATGACAGCTCTACAATGGTCCAGTCAACATTTGTGCCAAGTTTGATTAGTATTAAAGCATTTTTCATAGTTTCATAGCAGTTTGAACTTGTTAGAGGAGGCTTTCAGTGAAAATGGCCATTTTTCACAATATGCTCATGGGGGAAAGGGTTAACTTAAAAAATTATAAATGTTACAAAACAACAATTTTTCACCAAAATTAGGTAAAAGACCACATGTTAACATGGAAAAACTAGATTTTGGGTGATTCCAAGGTTTTTCATCATTTTTTTGTTAACCTTTTCCCTTATATAAGCGTGTTTCGACGGCTTTTTGACCCCCACCCACCTTTTGAGGCCTCAAACACTGAAAAATGTCCTATTTAGACTCCAAACACTGTTTTTCATTTGAGAAAT